CTGGGTATACAAACCCAAGGAGTCCAGACCAGGTACCCCAGCTCCAAGTGGTTAATATTGTTTTAAAACCATGGAATGTACCTCAGCTATTTACAAGGGCAATCTTTCAGTTCTTTGGATGGGTTAACCCTTTTCAGGGTAAACTATTGTTAAAGAAAGACCATCACAAGGCTAGACACAAGGGCATCCCCCAAACCAGTCAATTGGCAATACGGATGAACAGTAACAAAGAAATGCTTTTTTTGCAGAGTGGAGGCCTGGTAGTGATCTTTTGACGATTTTAAAGGAACCAGGAACTGAATTTTTCTTAGAATCACCTTTTGTGTATCTCTGTATTCCATGCATGAAGACTGTTTGACATCTCTTTTGAGTTACGTGAACTGAACGGTGCTCTTTTGCAAACATTAAAATTGGCCAAGCATTTCTGGGCAAGTGAGGGCACTTTTGCTTTGTAAATCCAGGAAGACATGGTTCAAGTTGCATGTTTTCATGTTAAAATTGTGAACCCAAAATTTGCTATCTGGGAACATTTCCGTGAAAAGGATTTTTGCTGGATTATTGCCATATACTTACATAGCAATAAATTGCCAAAGAAAATAAAATCTGCCATAGCAGTGGTTAAAAAATCTAGAAAATTTCTGTGCACAAATCAGTGCAACATTGAGATTCAGTGCCTTGGATGACATTATGGCTCTGCTCATGAATATGCAAATATACATTAGCATAAAGCAAAATAAGCATCAAAATATGGGTTAAAACAAAAATTTAAAATCAGGTTAATTGAAACCCAAAGATGTAATTTCAAGGGATTTTTAGTAAAATTTGTAGAAATATTTCTATTTCCTGGTTCCTTTAAGGGGTATCAACCACAACATCGACTACTTTATAAGATGACTGTTGGCACACCTATCCATTCAAGTAGTCCTGCCCTATCAGGTTGCTCTGACAAGACCATTGATACATGTAGCTTATTGGCAGATTGGTATTTTGCGTGGGTTAAAATACTGTAGAAGTCTTTCAGCTGTTCAGTTGGATATGAAGACAGTACAGTGCCACTATAATTAACACAATGGGGTCCGCACAAAATGTTTGGTGTAGAGGCTGTTATTATTGCTATGTTCTGTCTTATTATTCAGGAGGCAAAATTGGGGAGCTGCTTTGGCCAGGGGCCAAGTTGGCTTGGTGCCAACATGGTGAAGTGCTAAGTTGGCTAGGTGCTAAAGTGACAAACATCTGTAGATACTCTGTACATGTACTCGCAAACATTACTGACCATGCTGCGTGTTGGCCAGTGTTCTTTTAGCGAGTAACATTTTCGTCAACTCTTGAGTCACTATCATCAGTCCTAAATATTTTTCCTTTATTTAAAGCAATTTTTCAGTGTTTGTCAAAGTGTGTGGAAACTTCGGGAGCCAAGGGGAATATTTGGTACAGTTGTTTAGTATTGTGGTGTTCGATCTAGCAGCGTTGTACTGTATTTTGCTCTTTACCCAATCCGTGGACAGCCTCGTTCGTTGTCTTTGGATCAATGTATCTTCCTGTCTGCTGGGAAATTCCAATTTCTTGTAGATTTATTCATAGAGGGTTTTTGCCAGAGACTGGCAGTACTGAATTTCACTTGAAGATTTCTGAGCATGTTAAATGTCAAGTAGATTTCATCTGTTTTAAATGTCCCATCACCACATCTTCTTTCTTTGCTCACTGCCGGCGGTCATTTTCCACATGTCAGAGTTTTAGTCGTAACCTTTTCACAGAATTATGGCTTAAGTGTGTCCACTCCATTCCTGAATCCAGCTCTCTCTGTCTCTGGTTTTCTTCATTCGTAACTCATGAGATCCACGAAATTCACATTTCACAAAGAGAGCAATATTCACGGAGAAACAGAGTGCATCAATTATTCATAAATTTGTTCTTCCTAGATGGTTTGCCATGCCCTCCCCGAAGGACTACATCGCCCCTGCTCTGTCTGCCTCCCTCTGTGAGCTCCTGCAGACACTTAAAGAAAGACTCCAACAGCTGGGGGACCAGCTGTGCCCCTCGGTCTTCAATAAGCTCTGGATGGGCCTAGCCGAGGAACTCAATAAATTCATATACGAAGAGGTGCGTAGAACATGAGAATGGTTTGGCTGTTGAAGTGCTTAACATGTGATTGGAAGGTGATGGGTTAGAGTCAAGTTTCAGCACACTTTGGACGGGGATGGCTTAGGAATTCAATAATAATTTGAACACTTGAGGACAGGGCTGCTGTAGCTTGTTTGTCACCGTCTTAATGAAACTCCTGAGTCGGTGAAATCCTTTGCCGGAATGGAAAATCAAAAATAAATTTTAAGACCAGTAAAAGATTTCAACTCGACACGGAAGGAAACCTTTCCCATCTTGAGTACTTTAATCAACAGTTCCTGGCATTGCCAATGGCCAGCAGTCACATTTGGCTTTTGGATATATCAGCCATTGTGAAACTTGTCCAAAATGAACATTGTTGTCTGTGGCTAGAGCTAATCACCATGGCACTCCAAATGGCAATTACCAAGCCGTTGTTGAAGGGATTCAAGCATGAACCTGTGTCTGTTGAAATGGAGATATTCAACAGGGCCTTGAATTGCTCGAAGCTACACACTGTAATTATCTTGTGTGATCTGTACACGGCTACTGTCACCCCATCAACAACTTCTATATTCGATAGGACTTACATCTTCTTTGTTTGAGGCATATGCTCATGCACTTTAGTTCAAAATGAGTGATTAGATGTGTCCACAATTTATTTTTAGGTGATTCTTGCCAACCAGTTCAATGAAGGAGGGGCCTTACAGTTGCACTACGATATGACCAAGGGCTTGTTCTCACAGTTTGGAGACTTCACCCAACGCCCCGAAAATTACTTCAAAGAGTAAGTCACACGAAGCTCAGAGACCCTTATGTAGATGTACCAGATGGGTATAGTGGGTTCTGTACGGGATGAGTGTTAAGTTGATTGGAAATGCAAGCATTACATTAGAAAATCCATGGGCTCCATGTTGGTCAGCATAACGGTAATCTACGGATATATGTGTTACATTACAAAAGGTCACTTGAAAAAGAGGACAGTTAAATAAAGAATCTTGTGCAAAATGGATAAGGTGATATTGCGTACGTATTGTACACGCGTACAGCGCGCAAATCCTTCAACCATCCATCCACAGAGCCATCAATATGATTTACTCGGATAATGTCACAATTTCTGCCGAGTTCTTCATCATGCGCCACTCTTTGGTGCAGCCCAGCCCTGGGAGGAGATGTCAGACCAATCCAGAAATCAAACAGTAGGGCAGCACTTAACGGTAGTTGACTTGTCTTGATGTAGGGTATGCATGTGTTACACCCAAGGGACCCATGGCACCTGATGTAAAGGGCAAGAACGTTATGCACCATGGGGAAGGAGCAAAGACATGCAACCACATGTCACTTTTAGTCAATAGTTTTTTGTTTTTTGCTCATTGGTCAAAAAGGTGAAAGACAGTAACTCGCTGCATAAGAAATGAATCATATTGTCACGGTGTAACCCTTTATTACAATGACTTTGTAAGAATTGTACCAAATAGGAGAAAGACAGATTGCTTTTATGTCATGTATGTAGGGCACATAAGGCAATATTCAGCAGACATAATTCAACCAATATGCAGTTTAATTTTGATGTGGACCACTTTTGTGAACAGGTCGTCTGACTTCCTTGACCAACAAAATTCAAGTAGCAAAGACCAATGTGAAAGAGCCTATTTTATGCTTGGAAAAAAGATACACAAAAGTTTGTTTTGTTTTTTCATTATAACTTAATTAAAACAAATCCCAAGACCGCATACACGTACACAGCACTATCCAAGTGTAACTTCCCAATGGTTTATTGTGTGTCTTGGGGGCCATATTTCCTGTGAGCTTCATTCATTCTCCTCCTGTGAATATCAGCCCTGGCGCAGTCTGAGCAGGATTTTGTTTTTTAAAGTTCGTTGCTATATTTTGCATTCAGTGACCACGCCTGTTGTTTTTGTGGCTGCCTGCACCAGAGTAGCGGAAAAGATTTTTGCAATCTGATAATATCCGCTGATTATCCTGAGGTGGTTTCGTTACCTTCCGTGTGAATAACTGCCTACACCTGGAAACGCAAATTATGAAGGGGAGCAAAATATCTAACATGCCCTCGTGCTGTATTTAACAGGAGGTGGATGGAGGCAGATTATACTAAACGCTGTGTCGGTGTTGAAACAAAACACTTTGGAGTGACTTGAGGATATTTCCAAAGATGATGAGTAGTTAGTTATATGTTAAAATAGATCACAAAGCATGCTCAGGAAATAGGAATCCAAATAGCTCCAAAAGTGGCCTTTATAGCACGTCCCATGAATGTACATATTTTTCAGGAGCATTTCCTCACTTACTTTCCCCCATTTTTGCACCGTTGTCTGTGTCGCTTTACTGGCAGTCAGTGGCCGCATTGTTTTGCTCTTTTTTGTTTTTATTTTTTTGGGGGGTTATGTGTGCATTGTCCACATGACAGGAAGGGAGGATCTCAAAGGTTATGTGTGCATTGTCCACATGACATTACTTGTATAAATAGGGCTTTTCTTTTGTGACTTCAAGTCAGGCTTAATGGTTAGGAAAACAAGAAATTCTCAGGTGTTTCAAACACCTGAGAATTTCTCAAAAGAGAGTGTTTACCAGACAGCAAATGCCATTGACAGAGTGAAAGGGAATCAAGAGGTTTTCTCTTCCAACAGACCCTGAAACCCATAAATGCTATTTGGCCCTTATCTCGAAATCACATCAGCGTAACCATGGCAACAGCCTTCCAGCCTCACTTCAGAGCATGTCAGTCTACACAGCACAAAGAAAAGCCTAGATTGAGTGTCTCTTGCCTCGGTCATGTGCTGAGCATGTTTACGTTTCCTTTCATTTGCCCTGGGTTTTGGCCACTTGTGCTTGAAGTCAGTTTATCACATGATTCATTTTTCATCTTCTTTTCCTTTCGTCTTTCATTCTGCCCTGTGCCACCACGTTGCAGGGCAGAGCTTGGCAGCTATTTACCTACTATTTCCAGGCCGTTTGTCAGAGAACGTTCCGCAGGGGTGAACTGTCTATTAATCCGTGGGTTATTGATCCCTTGCAATGGACGGCCCAAGAAACTGTTCCAAGCGAACTGGCATTTTGTCGCCAATGATGTGTACTCCTCCAGTCACGGGTCCACTCAAGCGGCAATCAGCATGTGACACTCGGCGTTGCTGTCCCTAAAGCGTGACTTTCTCCACGCCTTCTTCCTTAGTTTTTTAATCGCTTGGCTTTTCCCCTGGGAACCATCACTTATTGGCAGTGAAACATTCCCAAGGTACCTCATGTCTTGTAAACTGGAACTACCAACTTCTCCTCCCCCCCAGGGAGTGTACAGTCTGGAGGCCTGATGAGTGTAGCCTGCATGGGGAATGGTTTACCCAGGTGGTCATAGATTGAAGAATGGATGCAGACAGTGTGCAGACAGTCGATTGAGCAGTTGAATAGGTTGTCTTGTTATAAATAAGTCTAGTTGTGGAGGCTTTAGTGCGATAGACATCATCCACAGCAGAAGCCATTTTCATCTTATTCCCTGAATCTATCTTAGTGCATTTAATCCATTAAATGGGGTGATACTAGACTATTTGGGGGTTCCAAACCCCACTTTTTAGGTTTTTTCCAATGTTGCTTCAAACATTGAGCTATATTTATTACTCACTTTATTACTCACTCACTCATTCTATATAAAAACAGAAGGCATGAGTTTGTTTGATTTCGTCGCTGTCATTTTTACCCTCAGGTTTCCAAAAGGAAAAGTTTTACTTCACTTTAAATTCAAGATGGCTGACACATGGCCAGTTCAGTTGGTCATTGAATTGTCATGGAGAGTGTTTGGAATGTTTTTCTCTTTCCACGTATGGAGATTAATCCAAGCTCCTTGTTCATTTGTGTACAAGGAAAATGAAGAGGAGAGGAAGCACCGAGACAAAGAAACATTTCTCTTCTTCCCAAATATTTGTGAGAAGACAGAGCGAGTTGAAACTTCCTCACCCAGCTAAAATTTTTAGATAAGCCGGTTAATAGTGGTACAGTCACATTAGGAATTGAAAAGGCAACATTTATAAGTGTCTCGAAAAATAATCTTTGTGCATCACCTGGACAGGAAGTATGTTTAACACCAATACAAAATATCACCTTAAGTTGAAATTTAAAAGTCTAACCAACTGAAACAAAGATTATTGCTATGGTGCAAGCAATGCTAACAATTGGCAACAAATAAGCAAACTGAAATTTCTGGACAAAGCAGTTAAGACGTTCAACAGATTTCTGATTATTCAACTTACATGTATCCCCCCCCAAACAAAAAAAATGCAAATCATGACTGGAATTCATCCTAGGACATCTTGTAAGACTTCAACATACATGCCAGCTGCCCGTGGCCACATTTACTGTCTCATGAGAAATTTCTTTTCCTTCAGACCCCGAGGCTAATTAGAGAAGCAATATCCACGCCGGTAGACTGGAAGCAGTTAATCCACCCCCATGACAGTAATAGATCTACAGTGGACAGTAATGAGTTGATTAAACTCACAGACAAACACGGATGCTGGTGCACGCGTGCAGGTCCCTTCCCTCAGCTTGCACCACCGTCAACACAACTTGAATCTTAATGACGCCACTCAAGTCAGAAGCGACGTGGAAAACATGATAAAGGAAAACTTCAACATAGTTATCGATTTTTTCCATCTTAGGGAGTGACAAGACAATAACTCAGGCTTGGGTCTGATCTTGCCTCTTTTAGCTTCCCCTTTTATAAGAGACTGAAGAAAGGACAAACAAGGAGTATACCCGCTGTTTTTCATCATCAGCCTCCTCCACCAGACCACCACCCTCCCTTAACTTTACAAATTGTACTTATGTATGTGGTACATTGCAACAAATGCATTTAAATGTGGTTTATCACTATAAGCAAAGTGCAATAGGAGTCACAGTGGGATTCGTAAAGTAGGACGTCCAGTAGGGTACGCACTTTTGCGTATCCCTTCCCCATCTTTTTTTTTTCTTTATGAGGAAGATGTCTCTTCCTTTCTCTTGTTTCTTTTGCTTCAAACAAGTTATTCAGTGAGTTTGATGAGAGACATTATTATTGATGCTTCACCCCTCTCCTATGATCTGGCTCACTCCCACTCGGAGCACCCCCTTTTAGAAGTACCAGGTGCCCCCCCCCTTAGTTCGTCAATTCTTGATCTGCCGCCGAGGAAGTCAAACCATCCAGCACTTTTTGGGATCAGTATCTTTTCGCTGCATGCCTTCAAACCATGTCGCAGTGTTACATGAATTCTTCCTGTTGCCAACCGCTCTTACAAATTTGCAACATTATAATCACAGCATGCAGACACACACACAGGCCCACAGATGTAATCGCCGGAAATCGAAGGATCTAAACAGTTCTCACGGACCAGACACACAGCGAGGGGCATACACTAACTTGGTCTGCTCGGAATATTCATGGCGTCGGCGTTTTGGACACTTCTTCCTACCCTCTAGCCATCGTAATCTATGCGTGGACATGCGGGCACGTGTACACAGTCTGCCATCCCTGCAAGGGAAATTGATAACTTGGCTTGGCACATTGGGACACATGTACGTGTATATTTATTATCCTGTACATGTTGATTTTGATTTTCAGGGGAAAAAAATAATACACAGGTTTGGTTGCTGCCATTTACAAAATCTGTTTGTTCATCTTCTTCTCTTGTGGCAGCCCATCCCGCTAATTTTAAGGACCACATCACCTTTGGGGCCACGAACAAAACACAACATATGAAAGAAAAATAACCGATATCTCAACATCTTTTGGAAAAATTCACCCCGAGAAGAAAGCCAGAAAATGCAAGCCTGATCTTGTGTTAGGCCCTGCTGCACAATTGGCCCCCCCAGTCACATTTGTTGCAGGCACTTTGATTTTGCCTACAGCAAAACTGACTGGCCACCTGATGCTCATCAGCAGATAAAGGAAACTCTGGTCTGCACAACCAGGGAACAGTGGCTTCTGGATGGATTGGTCATCATTAATGGCATTGGTGCAACACAGTGTTTCAGAAATGAAAATCTGCCCCAAGATAAAGTGTACCCTTACCGGCAAAAAGAGACAGGCTCATGGCTCGTGGGAAGTTCTTCAACGGGGCTCATGCATGCATCTGGCGCACCTGCAAAGATTGTACAAATTGACATGCTTTGACCTGTTCCCACTCAGACCGGATAGAATTACACTTTGCCGTGAATGAATCTCAAGTAGTAAAAAGACACACAGTTTCCAAGTGGCAGAAGATTGAATTCACGGACACATTGCGTAATCATAAACAAAAGAAAGATATCTCATGGAGTTGAGCACATCAGAAAAAATAAAACCCTACACCCATGTCTAATGGGTACGCAACCAATAATGAATACACTGAATGCATGCATGCCAACCAGCTACCATTTGATAAGATGGTAATGTGTATGGTGTTTCATATCATGTTGCAACCTTCAGTTTGAAACATATATTGCATCATAAATAGGAAGTTATGTCACTCCCTAAGTCTACACCCACAGAAATGTGGCCCCCTCTGCTTGTTTTATTTAGAGAGTTCGTTTTCATTCGAATTCAGTAAACTGACACCGGCCTCCCTGATTTCCTGTTGTCGACACAAATCAGTCTTGGCCAGGCGAGAGTGCTTGCTTAAGGTAAATCAATGCTACACTACAGAATCCTGCCTTGGACTATGCCTGTGAGGCTTGTCCTTTTCCTGATACATATGAACAGGTTATACAGTACAGCAGCATTGGTTTGTGCGTGGTTTGTGTCAACAGAGGGTCCAACAACCAGTCATGGGGGGGGCGTGTGTCCAATATTGGTCAGCCGTCTTCCCATCTGAATCGTCAAATACCAGTTTGGTAATAACAAAAAAAGCAAATAACCTGTCTCTCTCTGTTGCTTGTTTGGAGTTGAATTTTGAAGAGGAAAGTAATAAAAGGAGGCCTCAGTCACGTGTCAATAAAAGCTGTAATTTTGTAGTGGAGTGAGAAAGTTACGGGATTACATAAAGTGAAATTGTTTTCATTGCAGGTAGAAACAAGGTTTTTAAACTTGCACCCTATTTTTTATCTGTAAAGATATAATAAAATACTGTAATAAATGGTTTTTTTGTAACAAAACAGTATCCTCTCAGGAGGATGGTGCAGCAGTGGCCCCTTTGACCCTAATTATGTGATGTGATGTGCAAAAAACTGCACATAGTGAGAATTGTCACTAGGGTGCATATAAACTTCAAATCACTATGGACACACTTCTTGTCAGATATATTACATTTGTGATTCTAGGTTGTCTACAGCATGAATCTAGGTTATCTAGGATCACGAATTAAACAGTCTGGAAAATAGGACAGTGTCTTGATCAGTTTAAAGTTGATATGCACCAAAATGACAAAGCTCACAATGTTGTGAAGGGTTTTGCGCAGATCACATCACATATGTTTTGTTGGCTGGAAAAATAGCCCACAGCAAAAGCTTTCAATGCATTTGAGGTTATCTCTGGCCTAATCCCTGCACCCATTTTTTTGTTCAATTTCTGAAAGGATTTAGACACAAGACTGGGCTTTCAGGATCCCTTAGGGATATTCATGACACTATTGCTGTGTGTTGCCAGCAGCAGTGGGACCTTTCACGGGTGGCGGTTCTGTAGCTGGAGCCAGGAATCAGGTCACGAAATGCAAATCGGGATTAGATGTTGCACTTGCCTTTATTTTCAGTTTGTGGTTCATGGGCCAATTTCAATGTAATCCCCAGATCCGTTCTTGTCTCCTCCAGGATCAAGGAGTCGTGCATCCTCCTGAACCTCAAGACAGGCTCGGCCATCTTACTAAGGGATCTTCTCTACCAGACCCTCCACGCCAAGCAGACGATAGACGTCCACGGCAGGGATCCGTCCCCAGACGCAGCCCTGAGAGACGTCGGTGTGTATCGTCTGTCTCCCAAAGCGGCTGAGATTGTACTGAATCTGCGAACGGACTGGCCAAAGTAGAGTGCAGACTGATAAAAGCAAAGTGTAAGTTGTTGTCATGTGATTAGAAAAACTGTAATATGACAAAAATTACTGTAATAATTATACAGATTCTTATTACTTGATTAAAGATTGTAATTACTTGCAGAATCCGGCACACAATACTGCTAAGTTTCCACAGGAAATTGATCATGAGCCTTCTGACATTTCATGGTTTTATGTTTAAGATAAACGATGACAGAGAATTTCGGACATTCTCTGTTTGCCAAGAAATTCTGTAAAGCCACATTTATGATAAAACAAAACAGGGTGTACAAAATTCATTAGTAATTTTTTTTTTAAATAGCCTGAACTTCATGAAACAAAAAATAGTCAGAAAAAAGATGGCCAATCTAAAAGTCTTACTCACTTTTGTTCAAGCATTTTTACATTTGACTGTGCATTATTTTTTTTGAAAGTGGGTGGTCACTTCTTACGTGTAGTGCTGTGGTCGAGACCCTACATGGCCCGCACAGGGCCTCCAATCAGAATTCAAGTCACAAGCTCTTCCTGTGTCTGATCTTGTGTTTGGTCTGGCGCATGTCATAACAATTTTAATCCAACCAAAACCCTGACCATGACCAAGACCAAACCCAAAGCTAGCTTGCTTCAAAGCCCAAACCCCTATGCAACCCAGACCACATACAAAGTTTGCAGACTTCATGACCTTTTCACCGCCGTCCGTGCAATATATTTGATTCTTTGACTAGTCTGAGACAGTTGACTGAAATGCACCCTCCTCGTTTCTTGTCTGGTGACATACTGGACATTCTCCGGCTCTTCAGTCTCATGATGGATGGGGTACAACCCATCTTCGTGTGGCAGGAGGGTAATATCTTCTAGTCCGTGTCATTATGAATCATTAGACATGTTGGCGACATGGCCAGCCCAGTACAAAATCATTATTCCCTCGTGAGATGGCCTAATGGAAAGCCAGTGCTATTAAATGGGACCTTCAAGAGGTTGTGCAAGCCGAGTTGTCTTGCTTGTCGACTACTCAAGTGGTGTTCTTGAAATGACCTGTGTGACTTTTTTTTCCATTATGGGCAATTCCATGTGAATCGAGAAATTCGTCAAGTTGTCATCAACATCATTTATTACTCAAAATTCACAAACAAAATGAAGTTTTTCAAATATATTAAAAGTACACATAATGAATTGTAATGTTATCTTTTATTTGCACTTCCATTTCTTGTGAAATATTTTGGCTGAAGAATTTTAGTTGGTAACAGCAGGACCAAGTGCCACTTTCCACAAATGTACAGGTGCCCTTGTGCATCACTCTCTGTTCCAAAGCAGTTCATTGGTGACCTCCCTGATCATTTCTATATTGTGTAATCACCAACTAATGGCAATTTTCAAAGATCTGTTGAAAAAGTTTTGATCTAGAATCCTTTTGCTTTTATTTCTAGTTTTTAGTTCCTTTCGATGAAATATTAATTTAAGCCGTAGAACACAACTTGGAAGTTATTACTGATGCCCTTTAAATATGAAGGAGTAATATTATTTCCTCAAGACTGATAGCTAAATGTATTTCTTTTTCATCAAACCAGTTCTTGTGATATTACTCCCTGTGGACGAATCCACTTATTACATCCCTACTCGGCCAAGTGTTTGCACTTACAATGTAACCCTCGATGGGACTCTGGAGTACTGCTGAGAAAATTGCCTTTTAAAATATGTATTTTAAAACGCATTCCTGCATTTCCCAAGGCAATGAAAGATTCCACTTTCAAAACTTCGCCATCATCCTCAAACCTACCCCCAGCTGTAATCTGAAGTTTCAGCCACAAGCCTTGGCCTGCCTTTACCAGAATTCAAACTGCTCGCATTACGTACTCGAAAGATTCTGCACCGAGGACAAGAACTCAAGCTGCATTTCATACCGAAGCACACATTTTGATTCAAGATGAAATTGATGACCTCTCCACCGGACAAACAAGGCGGCGGCTCAGCCTTGACTTGTGGAGAGGGTTCGTGATTCAGCTATCATTGGAATTAACATCACGACGCGGCTAAGGAGGAGTACCCTGCATTTGACCGGTATTCGGCAGACCGTTCACCTTTCGAGATACATGTACATCAACGGGGTCCTCAGATCTACCAAGCCGACTTTAGATTTACGCCTCCGTCGAGCCCGGGGTGCTGTTATACGATTAACAGACGGCAAATATTGCAAAGTCATCTCCCGGGGGAGTTGGCTGGTTTTTAGCCTTTAAGTGTGAGGTTGATCGCGGCACAAAGGCCCCAATGGCAGGCGACTTGATGTGTACTTGCCGATAAAATCAAAGATTGATGAAGAGATGTCGAGAGAGTTGTTTTATTTCGGGTTTTTTTTAATAAGAATGGTAAATAGTAGAATGCATGGTGTTGCAGAAGTCTGAAGCATTACTGTAACGATAGATTGGGGGAATCAAACCTTAATTGGCTGAAGTCGGGTTTGAGTTTTATGCAAAATATCGAGATGTTTACATCTGTACTTTTTGGGCATTTTGGACCTCTATCCTAAAGTTTATTTACAAACTTTGTTTCGCCATTTTGACGTAGCGGGATGGCGTTGACCGTGGCAGATTTGCAAGTATTAACTTGTCAAAGTTAATGAGTAACCGATTCATATTCCATGCATTATCGAGATCCGAATATTTGATAGGCAGGCTTTCATCAGACTGCGCGTTTTTCTAAAGGGTTTCAACAAAAAATATATTGAACCAAATTATCCTCATCATTGGAAAATTGTAGATGTTAAACTCTCTACCCAAGAGATCGCAGATACTCAAAATAAAATACAGAAGTCACCCTACACTGGAAAAATCCTTTAAAACAATCATTGTTACAGACATAGAATCGTACATTCCGTTCGGGCGTAAAGGCGACTTCTACCTATATATTTTTTTCCCACTTGGTTCAAGCTTGTGAGAGAAGGTTGTTGTAATTGTTTGCCTAACCCCGTTCCTAGCCGTGATTGGAACAGCATTTTGCCCGTCCACACGTCTTCCAAAGGGAGATATAGATTGCCGTCGTCCGTGCCTGAGTGCCCGCTCGCGCTCAGCTCGGTTGCAAGGGAGAGAGGCGCTCATTATTTTTTGGCCTTTCGCCCATCGAAGCGATGACTTTTTCTGTTGGACACGCGTTTTGCATAACTGTATAATCCTCATCTAGTCTTTTGTGTGTGAGAACTATTTGACATCGTTTTGAGTTAAGTGCATTGAAAAGTACATTTAAAAATTTTCGATTCTGGAACTGAGGGTGCTGTTGTTGTGATGTCACTCGGGGAGGTACTTTATTTCATAGGTTTTTCAGAGTCTGTTCAAATTGCGAACCCAGAATGTGCTCGTAGAAAATATTTGAGAAAAGATGTTGTCATGTACTTATGAAGCAAACGACCAAAAAAAGGAGGAAACTTAGGCAAGCATTTTTTGACATTACAGTGTTTAGCAAAAATATGAGAATGTCAGCGCACAAGCTAAAAACCCACTGAAATACCCTTTTTAACAGCAAAGCAAAAATTGAAAATGATGTGGAGACATGAATGGTGCATTTTAAAGGGTTGCACGTAATACAATGGCATTGCACAGACCATTTAACTTTGTTATTAAGATCGTGCTTGACACTATCTTCACTTCTAATGGCTTCAGGTGCCTTGTGTCTGCTTTGGTGTCCATTGTCTTAAATGCCAGTGATCAAACCATCAGTAGTGTAGTCAGGCGCTTCGGGGAGGGGGGGGGAATTCCCACAGGGCTACGTAGCCAGGCTCTTCGGCAAGAGTTCCCACAGCGGGTGGTTCCCCCTGTCCCCCTTGACTACGTGCGTAGCCATGTTCTTCTGGGGGAGGGGAAAGAGTTCCTACGGAGGCAACATTTGCCCACTTAAGGCACCCCCCATTATGCCACTACGGACCGTAGGCCCTCCACAAAGGGGACAAAGCACTCATCGGCTGTAAACTTAGAAACTACTGTTGATGCTGTTGGTTCACTTAACCATCTTTTTTTTTTTTTTCTTTTTTCCCCATTTTCCGTGTTTTCAAGCGAAAAGTGCCATCCTCCTTGCCACGCCCACGAACTAAAAGATCAATTTTCCGAAGTTCAAAGAAACTGTTGAGATAGCAGCAACTCCTTACAGGCTTATGGTTTGGATGCCACTTTGTGTTTTGGGGAATCCACATTCACGGACACATGTTAAGAGGAGCCGTTATGATTGTAGAAGAGGGGGACAGTCAGTCAGTTCGAGAATCGTCGAATTTACGAGCACTTAGCATCGAAAGTAGGCCCGTGTCCCATTTTAAGCCTGCCGCACACATCTCCAATTTGACGCGCTCACCAGACCATCGGGCTGTCATAAATGCAGGCAGCGGATTCGCTGAAACATCGGAGCAATCTGACCGTAGCTCGGATACGGCAGGATGAAATCGAACTATTGGATTTCCTCGCGTCCGATTTCACCGGACCCGATGTCACCGGGAAAGCTTAAAGGTGTGCGAGCATTATTCCAGTTCCACCAGACATGCGTGATTAGTTGATATCAACCAGTGAGATTCACCAGAGAGGTCACATGGTTCTCATTGGAACCCCCCCCCCATACGGCCATCATAATGACTGGTCATCGTAACTACGTATGAGACTGATTGTCCCATGGCCGATTACATGACAGAATAGGGCAGGTGTACGTGTGCGGGTAAACGTTGCTGTCAACCGCAACGGGAACTAAACCATACCGTTGGCACTTTGGTAAAACAGGCTGGAGAGATGATATCAATGCGGGCCCACAACACTCATGCACGGGACGCATGCTTCACTTGAGCGCGTTCGCGCAGTGCACTGCATATCGCGACACCCTAGGCCCCTATTTTCCTAGCAGCCGAGGCTCCTTTGGTGGGAACTGCGCTTCGCTGGTTCACGAATGAGTGAGAAATACACGCATTGCGGTCACTTTGCTACTAACCAAATGAACACTCCCCGCCATAATGGCTCTTTTCAACCAATGATGGGGTGCTTCTGCTCAAAGCAGGCTGGTAAAAAGGAATGTAATGCGTGCGTATCACAGACTGCATGCGCACGGGATAGCCACTCAGTAATGGCTTCTAATTCTGGTTGTGGGGGGACAAGGCAGTGTGTTTCCCATTGTTTCATGTAATGTGAAACTCTCCCACGGACTAGTACACAGGCAGTTACCACAAAGCAGAAAATGAACAAAGGACGCACGAATAGAACGAAGTTTATGTTCCTGTCGTGTGTCCTGTTGCTATACATGTAGATTTAAACATGGACACGCATACACCATTATACTCCAAGATACTCTTCAAGAAGGACACAGTTTGAGGATTTTTAACACGAGGACATTGACATCATCATTCCCATCTGAAGATCGAGCCGTAAACGGTGAGTGTCTTGTTGGCACTGATGGTATAGCTAATTCGAGGAGTTACCTTATCAGCCAGTATCTCTCACCAGATGCGCACCGGTCGTTATCGGCAAGAGAAACTCAACAGTGCAATTATGAAGCAATGCTTCGTTTGAATCAACAGACAGTGTTGTATGAGGATTATATCTGGAGATCTCTGATGAGAGCCAAGGGCTCGTTGGATCCGTCCTTCTCGAAGGCCAGTGATTAACTCCACGGCGTCATCTTCTCAAGTCTTCCTCTCCGTCTAGGCCTATATACGCACTGACCTCGAACCGAGCTCGCAACAAACACAATCATGCTGCGCAAGCTATTTCTGGAGTGATTGCCAGTTCCATTAGCATTGTCATCATCTGAGGCGGTTGTTTGCTCCGAGGACGATTGTTTATTTCGGGGACATTCCCCCGCGACTCAAGTACGCCGTCTCTGCCCCCTTGAGGAAAGGTCAAGATGTAGAATACTGCATCTTAATCATACTGTAAAATAATACTTACCATGTCGCTCGGTCAGTGGTTGAGACTACAGCGAAATTATCACCCAGTGGCGAGAAGGCGTCTCTTCGCATGAAAGAAGTGCCATAACCCATACTGAATACGAACCACCAGATATAAGCCATAAATCCAACAACGAAGAACAACATTTTAGACTTTCAAAATTACAGGAAATGATTAAAACGAAAGCAACTATAAATTTGTCATTTTGCAAACTCGTGCTCCTGACACCGGCTGGCGTACGTTCGTTTACCTTATCATCATGCGGCCTGCAGAATATGTCGACACATCCCTTTAAAACTAACTCTTTCTCTGAATGCGCAATTTTGCTGATTAAGGAGTGGGAAATTTTCAGTCATTTCAATTAATCTCTGAAATTGCCCCTGGACATGGATCAAAGCTGAAACTGCATGCATTGTGTGTTCGTCGTCACCTGCCAAGTGGCGGGGGGCCTCGGAAGATCGCCCGGGAAATCCTGCTTGGGTTAAAGCAGCCGCGCTCAAGCGAGTAATCGCGCGCCCACAATTTCTCTCCGAGTAATCTGTTCCTTTCGTCTGGGGGTCTCGAGAGGGGAAATGGCGGTAATAGATGAGCCTGGAGCGATAGATGTCTCTTTTTGGAGAACATTAATGCGCGGAAGGAAAAAGTATCAACAGCGGTTGCCGACCCCGGAGGAATTGTCAAAAAACTTTCCAGCTTTTAATTTCGAGAATCCCGTTGTCTCACATCGTTTCATTTTTCACCAACGCAGGATCTGCCCGATGGTATATTACTGGTTGGTATCGATTGGAAAATGATGAAAAATACTGATTACTGCAAACCATTAACGATTGTAGATACGCTGATGTAATTGCTTTTGCTATATTGTCATCAAAGTTGTCTTGTCTGTTGTCCGTGTTTTGTTTTGTTTCCTTGTGGGGTGGGGCTCATTTTTGTTGTGCTGTGTACGTATGCCATTTTGATGTTTGGTTGGGTTTGGGTTGGGTTGGGTTTGGGTCGGGGTGGGTCGGGTTTGGGTCCGGTCGGGTTAGGTTGGGTCTGGTCGGATTGGGTCTGGTCGGGTTGAGTCGGGTCGGATCCGGTTGGGTTGGGTCGGGTCAGGTTGGATTGGGATTGGTTGGGTTGGGTCTGGTTGGGTTGGGATGGGTCTGGTCGGGTTGGATCGGGTCGAATTGTGTGGTTTGGGTTGGGTTGGACTGGATTGTCGGTCATGATAAGAAAATCAATCTGGAATTCCTCTGTTCACGGAGGGAATTCAAGAACAAGCTCTCGGAGAGTCCCCCAACCCCAAGTGAAATAAATCGAGAGCAGTAATCCACCTTGAGTGTCATCCCCTAACTCCATCTGACAGTCAACACCCCCATAGCAGTATAAGGTTAACGGGGTCGAACTGAGGAGAGTCGCGGCGGAGAGCAACAATATTGGCCTGCTGCATGACCGTATATCAGCGGTTTCGTATTTATTCCTCGGAGTCATGAATCACTTTACCTGATGAGACCTGAGACTTTGGGACATCCGCCTTGGACGAGAGTTAATAATCTCCGTAGCCCTTTTCTGCCTGTCCTCGGGTGTAACAAGTGCGCATAAATTTCAAGAGCTGATTTATTGAATGCAGTTCTCGGGTCCCGGGTTTACCTCTGATTTCCCTCAGTGGCCGTAGATTTGTCATGATTAATTTACGTATCAAGCCATTTCCCTCTGCGGCGTCCTACCTTGAGCAGAACTATTTGCAAAACATTTGGTGTGATTTGTTTTCTTCAGCACGAGCGAGAATATCTGAATCGCGCTTTTTGGATATGTACAGGTAACATTTTTTGCTGCTTGAATCATTGATTTTACTTCAAATCAGACCACTAGTTTGCCGGTAATAAATGTTTCAAAGGAAAATACCAAAACCGAACATACAATAAGTATAAGGGCAGATAATAATGTCACAACCGGACTAAGAACAGTGTGGATTAATTGAAGCATGCATTTGAGGTTTGCATGGTTAAAAGAAAAAAATGGTATTCACAGAAGGTAAAATTTCATGATAGCGGCCAATACACAAGACTACTAGAGGCTGTTTCAACTCTGATGATATTCGGAGGCGAGGCACGGGTGGGGGGGCTCACATCTTTAACGTTGGAGCACTGAATGTAAACGAACTGAGGCTCTTTATAAAGGTCAACTAGATTGGCACATAACAAGTGTTCATCTCGCCCACTCCAAACCGCGTTAAGAACTTTCATGCAACGATGTGATTGTCTCAGCGGGCTAAATACCTGAATGTACAAAATGTTGGACTCAAATAACGACGTTCTAATGGCCAAGAGTGCAATTTATCTCGGACATCGATCTCACGGTAGATCATCAGTAACCGCGAACCTTAATAATTCAACATGAGGAGCAGCGGACAAGAGTTAGCTTCACCTTAATACAGCTCCAGCATACACTCCTCTGCCCGAAACAAAAACTTGCCTTGCCTGTTTTTTTTCTATTGATTCTAAGTGGCCAAGAAGGACGTACGCGACACGTTTAACCCACATTTTAGCGAGTAAGCAGCCTAGTGGTTGGCATGACCTAGTCCTAAGGAGTCCCCTTGGTGACACAACGTACCTACATGTCTAACTAATCATTATAGTCATCAATACACATTATAGTAGAGTCATAACACCGACCACAGGCTTTTCCCATTTTACTTCCGAGCTTTCAAATTTAGGCCCATTGGATACGAGACTACAGTCGTCAATGCGGTATCAGCTTTTGAAAAGAACGACTGCTTACACGCTCAAACACGTTGATATACAGATTTCAACAAAAGCCATTCTCCAAATCATTATATACGGTGTCCCTCGGGTATTGTACAAAGTTATTCTGCCCGACGTACTTGCATTTGTTTTTTCACATCAACTCGCCAATACATAACGGCTCACTGTCTGCGTCATGCTTGCTGCACCGGTTGCTCTGCACCCAATCAGCGTTCGTTCCCCTGATCTGTAAACGATACAACCCTCATATTCCGCAGCTTTACGGTGTGTGGATAAATTAAATGTTTGTAATACCAGTAACATTGTCAAGTCACCCTTGTATCGCATGAGACGGTATACCAGACGACGGGCCATCGGCAGATGACAAATGACGGCTTGTTTGGATTGATAACATTATGTACCAGAATTGGGTTTAGGTAGAGTTGCTTATACACAGCGGCACACGGGTTGTGGCGTGATCCTGGGACGTGTTGGCGGAGCTGAAGTTTCCCGTTTCTTCAGTGTTCAGTGCTACATGTACTGTGAAGTCAATTTTCCGAACATTAAGACACGAGAGACTTCATTTGTGAACACTGGATGGCTACATTAATCCGTATCGAGTAGAAGCTCTCCATCATTGGTTGAAAAGAGCCATGTTGGTTGGGAGTGTGCAGATTGTTGGTAGCGATGCGACCATAACGCGTGCAGTTCATGTAGTTTTTTGTGAACCAGCGAAGTTCAGTTCTGACCAAAGGAGCCTCAACTGCTAAGAAAATTGTGCCTTCTCTTGGTCCAGTTCGATACTCATAACCTGCAGGAAAGATTAAAATGATGCACCAATTTGACAAAAAAGTGCTTCGATTACAACTAAAGAAAACGGATGGTCAGACGAAATGGTGGGTATATAATTTCCAGTATTATGATATATCATTATTTGTTCCATAAGCCTCTTAGGGAAATTTGGCGTGATGCGTATTTGCAATAAGACTGATGATATCCCCTCTGTGTTATCAATATTGTGGAGAGTAGGGTTTTCTAAAGGTATACAGTGCCTCAGTTGTTATTAATAGTATGAATCAAGGTAAGTATACTGTGACTGTAATTCCATAGTATAACGGAACTGAACCAATTTTAAAAATTCCTTATCAAAGCTGTCAGTCGTTCGGTATAGTTGGTCAGAGCGTTAACTCTACTTAGCAGTGCCTCAGCCACCTGTTACGACTCAAGAAAAACAAAACAATGATTGACCTCGTCCGCCGGACCAACTTCAATGATGGGTGATGATATTCACCTCAGACGTCGGAATTTCCGCTGAGAGGAACTTGAAAAGAGATAGAACGATGAGATAGCAATAATTGATAAACGCGGTGGAATTGACGTTGTTCCCGCAAGACCGATTGCTTTCCCTTTGATGTGCTATTAGCCGAGTGTAGGAGCAGTGTCAATTCAAGCCATCTACACATCGCTGCCTGCGTCGTTGCAATATTTATGACGGCTTGTGGAGGAGTTTATAATGCAAAATACTTACTGCAGTGGGTGTCGGAACAAGGCCTAAATCTTAGTCAGTTTCGCAGACAAACAGAAAGGAAAAGATTCGAAATGGGGAGATTCACCCAAAGATTGACCCTAAAGTGCTTTTGCGCCGTGGGAAAGAAGTACAGAATACCACCGAATTCGATACATAATGGTATCACTTATACTTTGGTCAATGCCTCTCTGAATATAGCATCATGGGGCAGACTGGAAAATCCAGCATCATTCAGCTGCTTGACTGTTTGATGAAAGCTGATACTTAATTCGCCGTATGCATTGAACTAAACTTGCTTTTTGATATTCCCCGTGCTTGATGCGATTCGGTTAGCCTGGTAGGAGACTGATTGGGGATGATGTGGCGTTTACTCATGTTGCTTCCATGTGCTTTGGGAGTTGACGGTGCAAATCAGAAGACAACGCTATCCTCTCTCCTGGGAGCCAGTCTGGATAATCAACATGTACATGATATCCCAGCTGCACTGCCAATGGAACGGACAGCCGATCAGGTTTCGGAGCTGTGCTATCTTCCAGAATTCTGACCGATTTTTTTTTTAAATCCAATGCTGTTTCACAGACCTCCTTCAAAATGGCGGGAGTTGAGTGTCCCTGCTTGCACTCAAAAAGTTTGCTGGCATTATGTCGCTAGTACCTGTCCCGGGTGTTGAGGCACTTAGGCAGGGCAAAGCACTTTATTGGGGGCCCATCGAGCTCAGCTCCTACAGTTATCATTAAAACAATGGCACTATTAGTTAAAGTTCCTGGTTGTAGTTTCGTAAACATTCTCTTTAACTCTGTTTTACAAACACTCTTTGGTTTGATAGAGCATCAGGAAGTTGTTGGTACAGGTATATAATTCATTTTTTAAAAACAAGTCCGTTTCTTAGCAAATTATGATACGGTTTCTACAGGGATTTGCAACACAAAAACTAAAGAGGCAACGATCCTTGGGGATTAATTTTTGTCAGACGTTAATGTTTCCGACTTAGGATCTGTCTCCTAACTCTTCAGACTTATAATCCCCGGCGTTCATTTTCCCCCTTATACTTCGTTGATTTTTGTTCCCTGAGGATGCTGACTTTGTTACAACAGAAATGCCGAGAGGTCTGACCCTTTAGTGTTTTATGTCGTCGATTAGAGAGGTTTCTGTGTTGGGCGATAGCTGTTTACGAAACCGAATATTGCAAAATGGCCTTGGACTTCATCAAAACTCTGTGAAATGGATCTGGAACAAACACAAAGTATGCCGCACATTGTTGCGCTGGCAGCAATTAAGCGAGGGTTTTTTTCATGGTTAATGATGATGGGCGGGGGGGGGTCGTCTTCTAAAGACGTTTTCTAAAGTGTTCACCATAACCCACATTATGAGGAAGAGGATTGGATTTGATTAATTGATTTGCATTATGCTGGTCTTCAAAACCACAATCGTGCATATCCAGAGCCAACAAAGGCCTGTTTTAGAGAGGCAAAAAACTGAAGTATCTTTTTTCCCATAGTATGTTTCCTGTTGGAAAAAATCACTTTTTGTAAGGTTATTTAATTTACTGCCTAAATGTGTAATCATAAGGTTTGCTTTATTGAATGGGAAATCACATTCTTCAACCCACAATCGACTCAAGTCCCACTAATTAGTGTGGCACCCATATTACATAATACGGTAATATATTACTTCCACGTTCCAGGTGGGTCTAATGGCATTTTGCTATAATAGCCTCGTATATTAACAGCGGTTGGCAGTATAACCGGGTGGTTCCCGGTCCCTTTTATCCAATGTGTGACAATAATTTGGTTCGTTGAAATCGTTGAAAATGTGAAAGGAAAACCATCCTCCAGCCGAACTCCTACTTTGTCCGAACTGCCATACGAATTCTGTGTGAACCTTAGCCAATTATATTTTTTCTGAAATGCAGCTTCTTGCCATTGTCTACTCCTCATCGTTACAGTCACAGGTTTAGACATTTTATAGGATTCGTAGCCGGAGGAAAAATGTTTACTCCTGCAGAAAATCATATACTCGATTACACAGGTTTTTTGTGGCACTGGCCGTAGGCCTATATTTCTCGAAACCCCAAAACACGACTTTTACAGACGTTCTGTTTACGCTGTGTATAGAAGCCAAGACTGTTTTATTTCTCCAGCAGCACATAAGAGCGGCAAGCGAGATCTCATGATTAATTTCCCTCGATTAATTAGTTCCTCATTTCTTGCTCTTCCAATTATGTGCTCGTTCTCTGACATTTCTGAGTTCAACATTCCCACGGCGAGAGCATGGAAGAAATAAGCTTATAGGTTTGGGCACAATTTGTGACGGTGTCAGTTGTTACATGCATGGGTTCCGTAAAAGTGAACAGTTGTTTCCCTGCATGTAGGCCTACATGTAAATTCAAAATTAACATTCTCATACACCTTGCAAGGCTGAATACAGAGGTGTGTGTTATTTGTAAAGAGTAAATGACCTACTCTACAGTTCATGACAGGTGGTAAAAAGTTACCGATGTCACAAGGACACCGTGACAAATTGTGCCCCAACCTCATGGAATGACCCTTATACCTGACCAATGGAAGTAATGGAATTTGACCAATTCTATTCCGTTGGATCAATAGTGAAAGTCTTGACAAATCGCACAGCAACATTGCCGAAGTGATTGAGAGGTTCCAATATTAGCCGCTATTTGCCCTTGTTCCTGACATGTCTGTCCTCAGAGTAACTGCAGTTGACGTTATGTGCGTATATTTGAAATTCACATCAGCTGCGAGAGTGCCGTTTGCTTCGAATGGACCCATCATCGATATGATGTTGCTTCTGAGTTCAAGAGAGAATCCGTCTCTTTGCCATTTTAACAATGTTTGGACAAAAATGCTTTGCTTGGCATTTGCAGGGGGAAAAAAGAGTTTTTTCTTATTTTATTTTGTTCACAATAAAGTTTTGACGTCATCTATCGATCGAAGCTAAGCGCGCGAAACATCATATTCGCGCACACTTAGCTTCGATCGACAGATGATGTCCTTCGATGTTTCCTCGGCACTGTCTCTGTGGCTCTTTAGGAGGAGGGGTGAAGCAGAAAAAGAAACAAATTTTGCGCCGTAATTGTCATGGAAACTCCAGCTTCGAAATGTCAGGAGTCCATCGGGGGTGAATGTTAAACCTTTCCCCGCTAGGACTTATTTATCTTGCCTCTTGGAAATTATATACGCCTACTTACATACGCATTATACTGCAGACAGAAATTTGTGGATTGTACTTCAAAGGTTCCAGAGGAAAAAAAGGATGAAAACCCTCTGCATCAACCTTCTGTCATATTGTTGAGAGAAAATTTTCCCAAATCACTGGGCAGAAATCAAAATGCCGTTAAGACGAAGGGCACGTATTACGCACCATTAGCCCGACATTAGCAAGGACCTGCTGACCAGATAATGCGGTAAGTCGTGCCTTGCAGGTCAGCATGAGTGTAGGCATCGTGGAGAAATGCATTTAGAGAGGGATCAAGGAGGAGCGTGGGGAGGGGTGTGCTTGAACTGCTCACCTTATCTTTATTTTACGCTTTCATGCATTAGCCGCTGCTCTGTGTCACAACTTTCCACTCTCAGGAAATTTTGGGAATGCATGCCGAATGTTATTATTTTGGTTGCTAGAATCCATGTTATTGGCTCCTTCTAATAACAAATGAGAATGTGTCTGAGTTCCAAATCACGTTATCGTTCTCGTGCGATTTTTTTGTAGGTAACGCGAAAGAGTGAATGTCACTTTGACGTCGCGAAACATTTACGCAACAAATTTCGGAATTTTCGGAATATTTTGGAATTAGCAGCAGGAAAGCTTATCTCAACATCAACGTCCGTTTTCACGTTCGATTTCGCACTGAATTTGCGGTACTGGGCTCTCCTGACATTTAATGTAATGCGCATGCTTGTGTTTCAGATAGCTCTTGTTGTAAGAACAGGTTTGATCATGCACTCTACTAAATTGATTCATTTTACTTCGTGGAAATTTGAAGCAAACACTCTCAAAAGCATTGGCAATTCTGATGCTACAACAAATCTACACTTAAGCAAAGGAAATGGGTTTGCGGTAGCACCATGCAAAATTCTCTCTTTTGTGAAATGTGGTTCTGATAAGAAACGGCGGGTGCTCCGGTGACGTGACTAGGGATGCATAAGAATTTAAACCGTTGACATCATTGACAGTTATTCCAAAAAAGATGCTGAAGCTGATACAACGTCTTGGAGGAACTCTGGGGTACAGTCTAGTAATTCAGGCCTCATTGAAAACAATGTAAGATCACCATTTTCCAGAGCTGCAATCAAACGCAACATCCCTGGGGTGTCTCAAATAAACATTTAATGATTATTTGGTCATTAATCTTTC